TATGCTTGCTTCTCTGGCGCTCAGGAAGTTTATGTCTGACTTTAATTCCAAATGAGCACGCGCCATCAAACCCAGACATTCCAATCCACAACACAGGTTCCAGTGGTTGGAGGAGCTAAAAACACTTTGGCCCTTAGTTGCTGTTTTTTAGTTGCTAGAGATTCCCTTCTGCTTAACTCCCTTCTCTAGACATAGAAGCTAACCAGAATTTCCTTAGTTCGATAGTAAAAAAAATAGTATTTGTGTAGTGCTTTAAGTGTGCATAAAGGGAGACTAAGAAGCCTCGCAGTGTAGACAACAGGGCTGATGATTTTAGATTCCTGCCCTCCCTTCTCTCTGGCCATACAGGAAATGCACTCCTAATCATGAGTAGTCAGACTGATAGCTTTATTATCACCAATATGTGCTATGTACTCAGCGGCTCGCACATTTAACAATCAACTCTATTTTTAATAAGTAAAATTGGAAAAGAAATGGAGTATCATGAGTGTACCTGCTGAGCTAGTGCCATTTCTTTGATAGTGTTCCTGGACTGCTAAGCCAGAGAATGCCGTAGAGTGCACTGTAGAGTGCATCAGGATTTCGACAAGGCTTTGACAGAGTGATATATATATATACATATATATATATATATATATATATGTGTATATATATATATATGAAATGGAGAAATGTGGACCGAATAAGAGTGTGCTCTTTTTTGGTTGAACCACCATGCTCAAAGAGGGCTGATGAAGAATTGTTCTCCAGTTTAGACAGGGTTCTAGAAAGGCCTTGCCACAGAGCTTTGTTTCTAGTTCAGTCCTTGGTGTGGGAACCTGACATCATTGGTTCTTCAAGCTCTGCAAGTGACTCCAATGCACAACCAAGGAGTAGACCCACTGGTACAGAATCAGTGGTTTACACACTATACTAGTGTTTTGAGCATTCAGAGGTCTCTTATTAATATGAAGAACTGTCTTCCAAATAGCCAATGTTTGCTACCGTTTCGTCGATGTTTAAAGTGAGGGCTGAAAGACAACATATGTTGAACGTTCATTTCAAGTAGGATAAAGGTTTGGAAAAGTACACATAAAAAAGGGATCCACCCACAGTCCAGTAGGAACTTCAACTGGATGTCACGGAGACATTTCACAGATGCTAGATTCCATCAAAACCCATTGACAAGAACAGCCCAATTACCTGTGAATGCAAAGTTCATAAAGAGGCACTCTTTTGGTGCTGAGAAAAACAAACCCAAGATTTGCTCTATGGAGATGATTGTACCTCTTTATTTAGAATCAGGTCATTATAATCACAGGTTTTAGAGAACATATCTCCAATTAACAAAAAAGTTGGGGAGATGAGCAGAATGCTAACACTGATTTGCGTATCCACAGGGGACGTTCGATTTTAACCCCAGTCACTTTGGCAAATAGAAAGAACAAGGCACTTTATTATTGGAGACCGCACTAAAAATGTCCACGGGCCACAGAACAACATGTTTAAGGCCAATCACGTTGAGTGCAAAGACTTCAGGCAGTGGGGGACAGGAAGAAGCTTGTCTCCTCTCTGTCTCTGGAAGGGTACCAACCTCATAACATCAGTACAGTTAATAACTCTATGACCTTTAAAAGGCATTTTATGAGTAAATTAGGTCAATTAGCACAGAGCAATTTACATTAAAAAAAATCCCAACCACTTTATAACTAGGGGGGGAAGTAGCTAATTCCTTGCATGAATGATATGTTAACTGGCAACATTCACAAAGGGCTTGCTTGGTTGCAACGGACACAACAAAGACACATGCAAAAAACCACAACGAAAGGCAAACAGCCTTCAAAGATATAGCCCATCTTCACCTTTAACCTGTCCTGTTCAGTGTTACCTGTTCATTGTAATTTTACTGGACTCTGTAGAGCCCTCTACTCTTTGTGGGGATCAGAGTGTAGCCAGCGTGAAGGGGAAGTTTTTGCAGAAGTGGGGAATCCAATCTCCCTTTATGAATGTGGAAAAAGCACCCTAAGGATCCTTTCTTTTTCCTTTCTCAGCTTTCTATTCATATAATGTCTCTCTCTATATACACATACACACACACACACACACACACACACACACACACACACACAATACGTATATACGTATTTCCTACAATGAGCTAGACACTGTGCTAGGTGACTTACATGCATTATTTTATTTAGTTTTCACACTAACTCTGCAAGACAGGTATCCTCATTTTATACAAAGGAAGCAGGTTTATAAAGGTTTTAAGTGACTTAAGGAAAGTCACTACAGAGCTTGTAGGTTGTGGAGCTGGGACACGCCAGATCTGCCTGACTACAGGGGTCAAATTTTTTCACAACAACGTGCTAACCTCTATTCTACCCACGCTGTCTTCCTTCTACATAATTCCCTCTTTCCTCCTCAAAGCCCAAAGAGGTGGGTGGATGGTAGTATTGGAAGGATTTCAAAGAAAGAAGGACTAACCTACCTCTCTTTTCTACCTCTCCTGAAGCTCTGCAATTTTCCAATCCCCCACACATAGCCTGGTCACCAGGATCCAAGAAAATACAGGCTCCTTACAGGCTCCTGTTAGATGTTTTCTCTCCATCCCCTCCATGGTTTTGGTGACTACATTTTTCAAATCCCAAATAAGGGCATACAGCTTGAGATGCTGTGTTTTCTTTAAGTGAACACGAGGGCAACATATCTGAAATCAAAACTAAGAAAGTACTTGTGGCACCTAGTAGAGAGGGAGAGGGCTGGCTCAATATGGACCTGTTGATTGATTGAGTCATTGGAGGTTGATCACACATGGAAAGTAATGAGCAAAGTTAGACTAAGTCCTTATCAGTGGAATTCAACAGGGTGGTCTTTCTGACAGGTCTTTTTGTTATAGCCTTAATGTAGGCTTCCTGAACCTGGCGGCTTGTTAATCTGCAAGTACTTGTTTAGATACAAGGCTGTGGATTCTAAGAGACAAGCTGTTCATTATGAGTTCTAATCCTAGGCTAGAAGAAGCCTATAAAGATTAAAACTTGTTTCCTTTTTTCTAACAATTAACAGCCCAGCTAAAGAGCGATCAATTGTAATTGGGGAACTGAAGAAGGTAATAAATGCATTACTGAGACCAGTTGCTTTACAGCGCCATTTATTTAATCCTTAAATTTTGCAGGTTGTAAATTACTCATTAGAAGGCAGAAAGCAAAATAGCCGTAATCCGTTTAGTGCCTCCAAACTCCGAAGACTTAGAGGAGGAAATCCAGCGAAACAAGAGGCCTGATGTGTTCTTTCACTGCTATTTCTTAATGGGCAAAGGTGGTTAAACAATAAGGATAAGCCCCAGTAATTATCCTGATGCGCTCGGTCCATAGGTCAGGGGTGGGCTTGATTAAATTCGTGGAGGGCTGACCCACAAACGGTGGGAAAATGCCCCTTCTTTTTCACTCAGCCCCGCAGGCAGCTAATCAATGTGCACATCTCACTTCCAGATTGTTTCACGAGACCAGAGCAACAACGTGTAACATTCATTAGGGCATTCACTCCCCTCTGTTGTTTCCTAATCAGTACAGGGACTAGGACAAGAGGCCAAGCGCCAGAGAGGACTTATAGGAGGAGGCGAGGAGGAGGCTGTCCCCTGCTCCCTACACGGGGGCTGTAGCTCCCAATTACAAAATGTTCAACGGCAAAAACGAGACAATGAGTTTGTAGGTTGCTTGACATATACAGAAAGCCACATATATTTGGTGTGAAGGTGGATTTTATAAGCTGACCGTGTAAAGACTTAACCATTGACCAAGGCAGATTCTTTTTATACTAAGGGTAAAATTCAATTTTAGACTCAGTGGTAATGATGCAAACAGTATGCGAAATATTGTTGGCGCTGGTAGGCTACTTGGGTTCTGAGAGTAGAATTTGAATCTGCGCATATTTCCTTTTTCGGAAGTGGGATGCCCTTTAAGTATACAACACAGCTTCTGGCTCACCCTTAGGCAATGCCCAACAAAAGAGCTACTGGCTCACTCCTGCGCTGAGCGAGCATTTCTTCCATACTCCTTTGCCTTTTACTCTCATGATCCATGGCTCATCTCTGAATAAAGATGGTGGGGTTAGGCTCCGAAATGGAGCTCCTGTCTTGGCAGAGGTAACCAGACCACATAAGGATCAAACCTCTGTTTCCGCAGGAGCAAACTGAGTTACCCAACGCCAACTATTTCCATTCATTTTCTACTAGACAGTCTAATTAAGTTTGTGATTCCACCAGGCTGGCGCTGTGTCTATCTCGCGCTCCATTCAATACCCACCGAGCCACTGCTGCTCAATAAATCATTACTGACAATGAGACAAAATCTAATTTAAAAATTATAGGTGTTCTGGAAATGCATTTATTCACTTTGTTAAAGTAATTATAAAGCAAGTGTTTCCCAGATAGATTATTTAACCGTGGCATGTGATAAAAATACTTTTCTTCCCACATCTTGCTTAAAAAAAAAAAAGCATTTTTTTTTTTTTTAACAGCAGAAAGTTGTACTAAAGAATTTTAAAGACCCCTGCCATTAGAAACACTGATCTCGGGGCACCTGAGTGGCTCAGTCATTAAGTGTCTGCCTTCAGCTCAGGTCATGATCCCAGGGTCCTGGGATCGAGCCCCACATTGGGCTCCCTGCTCCGCGGGAAGCCTGCTTCTCCCTCTCCCGCTCCCCCTGCTTCTGTTCCTGCTCTCGCTCTCTCTCTCTCTGTCAAATAAACAAATAAAATCTTAAAAAAAAAAATACTGATCTTCAAGCACTTGGACACCTGCTGGGACACCTTAGAAGATATTGAGAATAACTCACAGTAATTGAATAGAATCTAAATAGAATCTATTTATAGATATCATAGAACTAAATAGAATCATAACTTGGAGCTTCTATGTCATTTGTCCCAGGAAAGAGCCCATTCTGGCCCCTTTCAGTAGAGACAAGAAAGGACACTTGGCCCCGTTCCCAGGGAGGATGTACCTGAATTTTCTCCTGACTTACCCTGAGTGGATTTTCATTAAGGTAAGGGGGTTCACCTTCCACCATTTCGATTGCCATAATCCCCAGAGACCAGATATCAACTTTCGGACCATAAGCTTTTCGAGTTACAACCTCAGGTGCCATCCAGTAGGGAGTTCCCACCATAGTGCTCCGTTTACTTTGCTCGGGGGTGATCTGGGCGCAGAACCCAAAATCAGCTGCAGGGAAGAAAAGTCAGTTACAATCAATTCAATTTCTTCTTCTTTTTTTTTTTTCACAATAGGTCACTTTCACATATGGCTGTCGCTTCCTCCATTCGACACGGAGATTCCACCACTCCCTAGCTCCTAATCATTATTACCTGATCCCTCTGGTGGCCCTGATTTTAAAAGGGTCTGAGATAACCGATTAACGTGATGTCATTTTTACTAGTCCTCTATCTGGTTCCCTCCCTATTACTGTCCCTTCCAACTTATAGGATCTTTCGGTTTTCTAGTTAGGTATTTGTCATCGAGCAGATGGCAGTCCCTAGGAATTCTGAAATGTTAAACCCCCAGAATCCGGCCACGATCTATAGGAACACAGCATTAGACAAAAAAATTCTTTACTTCAAATGGGGCTCTAAATGCTTTCAAACCAATCACTTTCAATAGCCACTTTCTTCTCAAGACAGACAGGAAACGAGCAGAAATCCCCCGATACTCTTTCAAACACCATCTGAACCAAAATACCTACTCAATTTAACAGAGCCATCCATCCCAAGAAGAATATTGTCACTCTTTATGTCTCTATGGATCACTTGGTTTGAGTGCAAAAAATCCAGAGCTTGGAGGCACTATTGAAATCAGAAAAATAAGTTCTAATTATATCACAAAGAATTTAAAACCATGTAAGTTTCATTTCTAGATAAATGTGGGGCAAAGGTATAAATTTACATTATCATGTGAAATAGATTACTGTTGTCTTATCATTTTGAAATCATGTTACCATTTACATCAATGCTATAACAGCATTATACATTATAAAAGCTCCCGAGTCAGACTAGGACATGAAGAGTGGGGTGTGTGTGTGTGTGTGTGTGATAAATAGCTCTAAATCCTTAATACAGTCAGACTAACCAATTAAATAATCATACTTTGACCTTGTCATCTGGAGGGTGTGGATTCGGCTTGGTCCTACACAGGCACAGTAAGTTTCTGCCTCCGTGCTATTTGATTCGGGAGGCCTGAAGGGGGACCCAGGAATCTGCATTGAAAACGAGTGCCCCAAGCTACCTCTGATGGACAGCCATGGTTGGGAACCACTTCTAGGCTATGAAGTAGCTATAGTCACTTGTTGGGAAATGGCTTTGCATCGTGCAACATGGAAACCACAGGCTCAGGGTGGAATGGTCTCCTATATATTAGAAGTTTGATTCATTGCATGAATAGAAAATACCTATGTTTGGTGGATACATCTACGTGCTTGGGCAGGAGGAAATGGGGACAAGAGGAGAGCAAGGCAGGAGGAAGTTTAAGTGAACGATTTAAAATAATAAAAAAAAAAAATGACTAGCTGCAATTATTTGGTTTTGTTTTCCTGTCACTGGTTTTCAAGTTTCAGTGGGTCAGAGTTCCTACTTGTGTCTGCAAGACAACCTCACCACAACGAATGGGGTAGATGGTCATGTCCGAGATGAGATTCCAAAGAGGAGTGTGTTTTCAAGTACTGAGAAAAATATGATAAAATGTCCTCAGTTTTGCATGAAACTAGGGATATGACACTGTTATGGGGCAAGAGGCAGACACTCAGACCCACTGGAGGGTTTGGAGGGACGTCCAGATTGTCCTGGGAAAGCAAATACTGTCTGGGCTGAGGCAGGATCTCGCTTAAATTGCCTTCTCAAAAATTATGGGGTTATAATGGTTTGTATTTTACAAGGCTCCCGTTGCACATGCAGGACAAAATGATTATCATGTAAAAATCATGTAAAAAATTGCATGCCACCATCAGTGTTTCCCATGTTCGCTGAGACTACAACATGCAGGCTTAGAGGCGGCACCTTGTGAATGGCGTAATAGAACTCAAAAGATCCAGAGCGAAGGGACTAAAATAAATAACAGGCTGGGAAGGGAGGAGATGGAAAGTGCTATTAGGAAAGGATCTGAGTTGAAGTTAGGTTCTCCAATTGGTTTTATTTTTTCGTAGAAAAGATGTGCTATCGTTACTTTGATGTTATACGCATTCTGGATAATCAGAGATAAAGAACTGCCAGTTTTGGCATTCTCATCAGCTAGAAACGCTCTATTTTCTTACCTCTCTGCAGACAGCTGCTATCTGGCCTTCATCCATACAGGTCTCTGTGACCACATCAGTAAGAGAGCCACCAGCCAAGTATTCCATGACTACCCATAGTTCATCACCCACTAAGTAGCTACAGGAAGAGAAGAAAAAGACATTGACTCGGCCCAAGGAAGTGGGGACTCTTCTATATTCCCTTTAGGAAGGTAGTTCGCAGGTGGTGTCTGCATTTGGCCATATTCTATAATGGGAGGAAAATATCAATGACGGGGATAACAGGAAACTTCCTTACCATTAGAAGAGAATATGAACAAACATTTTTCCAAAGAAGACATCCAAATGGCCAACAGACACATGAAAAAGTGCTCAACATCGCTCGGCATCAGGGAAATCCAAATCAAAACCTCAATG